TTTTAAAAAAAAAGTCAATGTGCAAGATTTCCGCATAAACACGAGAGTAGCAACGGTTGCCCGTCGAGCCCGGCCTCTCCACCTGGGTTGGGCCAAGAATCCGGCCCAGGTGGAGCCACTTGGCCTTCCACAAACAACGGGTTATTGGGCTCAGGAGCATGTGAGAAATCGTCGGGCCCGTAAAGGACCGGGCTAGGGTTTCGTCTGCAATTGCCGGCAGCTCGTCTCTCGGCCTCGAGAAAATGGCCGAGAGATGGGGCATTGTTCATGCTAACGGCATCCGTACTTAGCCTCGAACATAAGGACAAAAACCATGTTCTCGTCTTGTAATTATTCTTCTTGTTTCTTACGGGCTCGGATATTTGCCGGCCTCTCGTCGATCTTCTCGACAGCTCGAGGATGTTGGAAATTCCGATAAGGCTCCCGAGAGTTATGCTCTTGTCGTGGAAGAACGAACCCGTCGACTACAAAGGGAAAATTTAGAAAATCACCAAAATCATTCTAAAATTTTCAAGATACTCAATGAATAGGCTTATCAAATTTGAGAAGAACTCTCAAATTGACCATCCACAAATTGCATTATATTGATTAAAAAGGTATGGCATTTCATAACTCATAGCATATGAGTATGTATTTTTGTTAGAAAAAAAAAAAAAGTATAACTGGTCGAACTGCCTAATGGTTAGGCTGTCTCTCGTATAAGAATTTGTGATTATCATGCCAGTGCATTAAATTACACCTCTAGTTTCTTCTCGAAAAATTGTTGCGCTCCTGAGTCGGTTCATTTACAGCATTTTCGCAATGAAAGTATCGTAAGTGCCCAGTCTTCAAGCTATTTCTCTAGCTATCGAGCAATTCCTTCGAACCCACAAATTAAGATACGATAAATCGCGTACTTAATTCACTTTTTATTTTGTTCTAAAAAATATATATATATATATTCAAGATCCATGCATCAACATTGTCAAGGTGGTCCAAAACAAGGACATTCTAAAATTAAACTCTACTGCACAAGCCACCACATCTTGCTAGACTTGTTCACATGACTTAACATTTTCCAGGAGTAGAACTAGTCAAGTTTAAACTTTCCCCTTTGAGCCCTGTTTTAATTTTTTATTTTTTTTTTCCTCAATATTTATCTTTTTCTTCATTAAATATCCATAGGGACAGTGCATACTTTTTAAAGTACTGATTAAAAATAAATAATAATAATAATAATAACACAGCATCATTTAAGCTTTTAGGGCCATGTGAAAAAGAATTAAAGTGCACCTCACACTTTAACAATCTTTAGTAAGCAAGAGCATGACCCAAAGCCTGACACAGAAAGCAAACTATACAATGAAAACATGCAACAAAAATTACAACAATTATTTCGGAAATGGTACAGTCCCGTTACTGAACCATTCTGTGGGTATCTGTAACCGTTAGATTATCATGTAACCGTCGTGTTACGTGGTTCCGTAACAGGACCGCAGAATCTCCCCAATTATTTATAGGCACTTCTTTTTCAGACATACAGCCAAAGCATATAACATAAATAATTCAAAAAAAAAAAGAGAAAAAAAAATTAAGGGAGCAAGAGCCAAGATGAAGGAAAATAGTAGTGAAAGTTTCAATATTTCATATAAATATTGCATCTTTTTTTTCCATCTCACACTTTCTTTTGTTCTCTCAAACTTAATTTCCTCCAAATGCAGCACAAATTGTTCATGAAAAATATCAAGAATTAAGGGAAATCACACCAAATTAAAATGCAGAACTGTTTGTTAGACAGAAACACTTTTTCAACAAATATGCATAATTTCGTACTCCAAAAAACAACATAAATAAAAGTACAACGAGTCGAGGCGACCCGACCCGTCTAACAATTAGACGGGCTCACAAAAATTTGAATGAATTTGGGTGTGTATATGAGATATTTTTTGATGGGCTAGAAAATAAAAATAAAATCTTTAGGGAGAAAAAAAAAAAAAATAACCTCAGTATCAAGATCAGAAGAAGAATCAGAGGAAGAAATTGGTGATCCAGTAAGCAAAGTGTTGAATGAAAGTGAGCCATTGAGATCACGATTTCGAACAAGCCCAACTCTTACATTCAGTGGCTGCAGGCCCAATGGCCACCCTTCTTCCTACATTGTTCATATAAAATAAATAAATAAATAACAAAAATTCAATCTTTAATTAATAAAATGAAATAAAAATATAAAAATGTATATCTTAAACTTTGATAAAATTAGGAAGTAATGAAGAAAAAATTAAATTACCTGTTGAGCCATTGGTTTTCACCCCCTTTGTGAAGAGACTCTGATTCTAAAAGGGTGTAGACAGGCAAAGTCTTTATATAACACTAAGGTTATATTTTATTGTATTTTATTTTATTTCTAATTAATTTGTTTATTATTAATTAAAGTT